TAGAGAGAGAGAGAGAGACAGAGAGAGAGAGAGAATAAATTTGTATAACTCTTGTGTTGATGACTACAGCTTCATTTAGCATTTTAAGGTTGTACATACACATATTGAGGACTGCTGGGTTATTACAGACCACCAAGGGTTGTCATGATGACCCCGCTTTGCAGCCCAGACAAAAACGCTAAACAGGAAACAGACCAGCCTTCATTACATCATACCACTTCTCGTCAGATGCTAACACTGATCGAATGCTAGCTCCCTGTTAGTTCTCCAAATAACAATAACGATATTTATATTCTGGAAGTCTCTGTGCCTCCCTCTTTTTCATACACATGGTGTGACAGAAAAGTACGAGTTAGTTGGACAGGTCTTTTTTTCTGTCTCTTCCAACTGCAGCCTTCATTGTGCCCTGCAGCATAATTAAGTAGCTTGTTGCTCAGGAAGTGTCTGCACAGCTTAATGCATGGGTGGACGACAATTTGGCAGTGAGCAGCAACGCTAAGCAGGGACTCTTCACACCAACTACAACAAAACAATTCACTGTCAAATACAACTTGTGCCACTGATTTGTTATATTTCTTTGCTTGATTTTTATCCAGATTAGTGTGGCTGCCTTATATTGTGCATGGCTGTAAAGAAAACATTAACAATCTTGGCTTTCCATGGCACAGAGCTACCCGTTGCTGGCTCACTAGCTCAGGTCATCAGATAACATAGCTGAGCTGATGCACGCTCACAAACATGCGCACTCATGCACACACAAACACACTAGACCTTGTATGGGATTAGTGGAGACCTGTTCATGCAAAGGTAAGCCTTGGCTATTTGCAGTACTAGCAGGATAATGATGACACATCCCAGTTTCATAGGGAGTCTCCTCTCCCAGATGGACTATATTCTTTTGCAGAGATGGGCATTAAAAGGATTTAATCATTTACAAAATCGATCATTATAAAAATTCTACTTGACTCTCTAATGTGTTACTTCATGATTAAGTGCTGCGTGATAAAACAGGTTTTTACAAGTTTGAACAATGTTTTAATAGCAGTGCTTTTTTTATATAGCTTAGCTTTGGTTGAGGAAACATGTGATCTGCTGTTTTCATGATAATGACAGTCGTAGATTATAGTTAGACTTTTATAAGTGTAGTATTTAGATTACAGATGTTGCATTATTATGAAGTTAGTAACAATGTACCAGCACTAACGAGAAATACTGGACAATATTTAACTGGTTCAGCTGATGCCTTATGAAAAAGACTATTCTGATGACACGCTAACCTTAGTTATAGCTTATACAAATGAGCATGTTTTGCTTTTCAAATATTTTGTGTGTGTGTGTGTGTGTGCGTGCGGTGCACACATTTTATACTGTACCACATCCAATCAGTCATTTTTTTGAAGCTGAAATAAAACTATGTTATGTACTTTGTGCTAGAGGAGCAAAGCTAAGTGGACAGATCTAAGACAATACACATGCTAAACTTACGGCTGGTCCATTTTCTCCTCTGGTTAAATTCTACCATATACACATATTTTTCATGCTTTCAATTCTGCAGTGGCAACTACTGAGCCAAGATCAGGATAACCTTGCAGTGTGACTTGCAGTAGTGTGATCTCCCCTCATAATAGCAGGGTACATTTTCTCCTTGCTCACATTCTTGTGGAATTGACCATGCACATTAGCTAGATTCCTGACATTATTTTATTATTGTCAGTCCTCTGAGCAAACTCTTTCTCAGGAGATCGTTTTGTTCCTTTCAAAGCTAGTATTCCAAATTTCACATCACTTTCAATTTGGTTGATATTTTCACAAAACAACACAGTTGGATGGATCTAAATGTCAGATTCAAATGACTAAATGTACAAGTTAAAGGAAATAGGAACAAGAGTAGCACCAAAAGTGGTCCAGTCGCTGGCAGGAGTTGAACAAGCCTACACCCAAACTGGGTATGCAGAAAACTCCCTCTTATCCTAAAACACTGCAAAACTGTCAGAGCCATAACAAACTGTGCATTCATGCCCGCAGATGTAGACACAGTAAACCTCCGTGCATAAAGTCTAGAGGAGGCCGACTGAGGCGTGGATGAGAATCACTGATGGAGAGTTTGCTGATGGCCTAAATCACATAACATCCATAATGCAATGAGGCTTTTTGCCTAACAGATGAGTTACTGGTCCAACCAAAACACTGTTATCACTGCATCAAGACAAATGGAGAAACACAAGCGTGCAGACATACTTCACTAATACACTCTGTCTGACAATCCAGCTTTATCTGAAATTCAGGTCAGACATTGTTATAGTTGCCCTCCCTGGAGAGTGGAGGGGGTTATGCCATATGTCAATAAATATGCAGAACTGGCGTCCAATGGATCCAGGAAAGAAAAGAGCACTTTTATTTAGGCTATAAAAACTGAGAATAGCATCTTCTCCCATGATGAACCAGCTGATGTGAAGTTAAGACAACACAAGCTGCCGGAAATGGACACAGATGGCTGTCAGCTGTAATACAACAAGAGACATGGGGCGAGGAGCAACGCGCTTCCTGAACTCGTCCCGATGGGGACAGCAGATCACTAGTGACAATAATCCCCCCGAGTGATGAGCGATGGTTATCTAAGCTACTGTCGATGACTCTGACAGCAGTTAGCTTCGTTTCCAAACCATTTTGAGTTTGTCCGTGTCCAGCCACACGTCCACACATGAATACTTCGTGAGACAACACGATCACAGTGGAGTGAAACATCAGTAAAGTGCAGCTAAATGCAAGTTAGCCGAGTTTGGTCGTGATGTGTCAACCGTCGCAACTTTAGCTAACTTCGCGTAGCTTCCTTACTTTCACTGAGTTTTATGTTGCTTCTATAAACACGCGTCGATATCAGCTAGTGTGGTTTGGCTAATTCAACGTGTGAGGTTTAACTTGGGAATTAATTGCAGTTTTGTCGGCGTCCATTGTGAGCAGACAGCGAGCTAGCGTTACTATCCGGTGAAGCTAACCGCGCTAACAGCCCGGTTAGCGGCTGCTGCTGCTGCTGCTGCAGCTAGCAACGATTACAAACTCATAACCACCGCGTGAGACACAACTGAGTTTACACCACGCACCACCGCGGCTGTCAGGACTCATCTTACCCATCTGGGTCCGCAAGCCTTTGAGAGTCGAAGCGCCCTCCGCCATTTCTCTGAAGTTTTCCTCCACTGCGTGTTTTCTACCGCGGGGGCGCGAGACGCATCGCAGCCGGTAGAACTCGGACACCGCGGGGACGTGGACACCAAAGACCAGTGTGGGGCCGAGAGGTCTCACTCTGAGCCGTTTTCGCGCGGAGGAGCAACACGTCCCATAAAAGTTGTCGTGTGCTGATGTGGTCCGATGCAGATGTGCACATAGAGTGTGTATTAACAGGATGTGCGTCGAAGCCATATAGGATTTGAACACTAAGGGTTTTCAGTGTCACATTATGAGATCATAAGGTCCTCAGCCATCTTGTTTTTTGGAAGAGCTGGAACAAATTGTGATGACTCTATATTTCACAGCTGTATTTTGTGATCTATTCATTTAGTTTCACTTTTATACTTTTATATGAACACATGAGTCTGAAATAAAGTTTAACTGACTAATATTTAAATGTTACATCAGTTTCCCAGTTAAATTCACTCATTATCTACTCACCACTATACCGATGGAGGGATGGTTAAGTGTTCACAAAACACTTTTGGATTTTCAGGGGTAAACAGTGTTGCAGATAAATCCTATTAACATTGTAAAGTAAATAGTGACCAATTCTTCAAACATGAAAAGGTGACGTAAAACGCCTGTGTCTGTAAGCCCCTACATTCAAATTTGACTCAAAACAGCATCATTTACACCATGTTTTTAGTCTAAAAGTCAGAGGTTATCGTCAGCCTGCATTCACATTAGCGCACAAACTCGCGCCTCTATGCTCTCGCCCAAGGGCCACGTGATGACATCAGCGATACTCAGCTGTATCTGCAGCTATGCTACAGGAGCTAGTGATGCTACCAGAACTAACGATGCTGTCGCGCATGCCCTTGGGCAAGAGCCTATGTGCAGTGTATGTGTGCGAACATGAACACGGCTCCGGGCTGAGGATCACAGCGGATATTTATGCGAAAAACATGGTGAAAAACACACCGCTTTGAGTCGAATTTAAATGTCAGGGCTTATGGACACTCGGATGATACAACATGAGCAGTATGGAGGTTAAAAAATAAAAAATAAAGTGGCAAAAGTAAAAATCCTTTGCTCACTGTGCAAATTGCCCCGTTTCAGAAAAACATTTGTAATTTGATGATGAATATTGGTGAATTTATGTGTGGGCCTTAATCACATGCTGCAGCTGGTAAAGGGTGGGCTAATTTTTATATCTTGCTGTTCTGCCGAGTAGATGCTGAATTTCCACTAAATTTAACTGAAGGACACATTATGTTTCCACTGAATTGATGAGAAATAGAAGCAAGCAGCAGAATAGCTTCAAAACTCTCCTCACGTACCGTTCTTCCGTCAAAAGTTATCCGAATGTGCCAAATTCTACAGAGTGATTCATCTGTTCTATTCACGATCTACGGAGGGGGGGGGGGTGTCAGAAAAATACTGGACACATTTGCTATATCGATCAAGAGCGCCACCTAGCGTTTAAAGTTAGTTATTGCATGTAGACCGAAAAAAAGAAAGTGTATCTACAAGAGATGATGAGAGCAGGAGCAAATAGAATTTAGATACACTCAAAATCATTCATGATACCTTTATGGTACAATAGTGTTTAGTTAAACAAACAGAGGACTTTCATTATGATAACTTTTTCATTATGCTTCTCAAAGTCAGAGTCAGTTTTCAGACAAGAGGGAAATAGATCTTAGATAAGACAGCAAACCTCACTCACAATTTGTTCATCTTTTGAGTTTAAAATGTAGTGATGAAACGAACCTTACCGGATTTAATGTGCTGAAGAATCTGCAGAGCTGGAGATCAAGGAAAATGTTCAGCTGGCAAACGTCTCCCAGTGAGAGAATAACACATTTTCTCAGGGCTCTATGTTCTTTCTCTTGCTATGAACACTGCTCCCTCTGTCCTGGTCGGTCTCACATGCTTGAGCCAGAGGGCCTCTCCTCTATTTTACACGGTAAACAGGAAGCAACACCGCATGGAAGGTTCAGTTGCAATGACCTGGATATTGTGTTATTTAACACGCAAAGCACAAATAATGACTTATTCCGTCTGTGCAGCTTAATCGGTTGCATGCCACTCTTAAAATGATTGATTTATTCAAGTGGAACCATCAAAGTGGGCAAACAAGTGTTGGAAATCCTTTTGATGTTTCTTTCATGCCCTTTATATCTAATTACAGTAATATCCCATTTCAGCCAAAATCAATTTATTTCAGCACAAAGAATATCATTGTGTCTCAGGAAGACGTGTCAGGAGCATTGGGCGACCCGGCTGGTAACAGAGTCATCACGCAAAGTGGGTCAGAAATACTATACAGCTGGAGTCATGGTAACGCATCCTCAGGGGCTAAGCGGTCACTTGTTCACCACAGCCCTGCGTATCCTAGCAACAACCTCAGGATTAGGCAAGAGTGCAGCAGCCTGGGCCGGCTGGGGCAGCAGCGTGTAGGTGGAGGTGCCTAGGTATTGAAAGAGGTCCTGGAAGCCTCGGAGATGACCAATGACCTGAGGCGGGACACCCATAGACCGCCCCGGTCCCCTCAGCGCCTTTTTGTCATTCACAGAGTCGAGAAGCAGGGACAAGTGCTGGAATGAGTCATAGTCGAGCATCTCGACACCGTCACCTGGACAGAGCCAGAATGGTAGAAGTAAAATGAATCATGCTGCTGATGGAGTCCACTCAACAGGGTTGTGCCTCCTACTTGCACACCCAGAGATTAAATTCAAGGGCCCTTACAGAGTCAAAATGAATAACTGCTATGTGTGCTTTGTCTTAATGAAAACAAACAAACCTTGAGCCCTCTCCCATATTGTCTGCAGCTTTTGCGCCATCTGATGTTGACATAGAAATGAGGAAGGAAAAATCTGAATACAGCTGATCCTGGAAGTATCCTTAACTTAATTCAGCGATAAACTGTTATTACTTAAATGTATTCACATAATCCAAATCGTTCCCACTTGTAGCTTTTATGATATTTGAAATGCAAATTTGAAATGATGCTTGATTCTCTATGACTAATATTATTAAAAATGTAACCTTCCTGATTCAAAAGTTAGTTATGTTATGACAAAGAAAGGAGCATGTAAATCAAATTTTCTTTCTATTTCTGCCATGTCCCTGAAAATAAGATATATTAGACCTGTGTATTTTTCCTCTTCTGTGGAGCAGCAGCTGCTTTTCTGTTCCTCCAGTGTGATGTTCTCTGTCTTCTGACCAGAGGGCTTGATGTCTGTGGTGACATTAATCACAATAGAAGATGCACCTCAATCCCATGGTTCAGTGAGTTCAGGCCTCTGGGAACTGATGCCACTGATGTAAATAAAGAGTTATGGTCTGATAGAAGTAAATTCAGTCAGGAGGAAAGCCCCAAGCAGCACAGCAATGAGACAGAATGAAACAGAGGAAGCTGTTGCTGAACCAATCAGGATCACTGAACTATCTTTATCTTCTTCCTTTACTCCTTGATTTAACAAAACCATCTGTCAGGTCAAACTGGGAACATAAAGTAATAAAAATCCATAGGGTCACTCACTCTTATTCAGGATCTTTGTAATTTGCAAAGTGACGTCACTGTCTATCAGAGAATAACACTTGTAAATCTTAATTTACAACATTTCTGGATTATCACCTGTCACCATAAAACTCTTCATACAACATCATTAACATTGTTGTCTACATATTGTGCAGTCCCTGGTATATCATTGGATCTAACCTGCTTTCGAGCCTTGAGCTGTGGAAAGCAAACACTCTTTATAAACAGTGTCACACTCCTGAGTTCATGATACCTGCATGCACAGCCCCATTTTTACATAAAGACAAATGCTATGTATCAGATTATGGATGATTACACTGGCACTGTGGGGGTATCTCACCCCAGGAGGCACTGCCCACACAGGGCATCACTTGGGGAGCACGCTGTCTTCTCCAGGTGGCTCTGCAGGGAGCCACGCCAGTATCAGAGCTGAACTTCCCTCCTTCACACGGCACATGTGGTCATATCTTACCAAACTTGGCATATTCTGAAGTTATATAAAATAAAGTATATTGTAGCAAAAAGTACAAAGTAGTATGAAATGTAAATACTCAAATAAAATATCTCAATATTTTTACTTTAATAAAGTGAATGTACTTTCACTTTCCCCTTTTCAGGTACTTTAGTTAGAGAAAATATTGATTATCAAAAGACACAAACACACACACACACTATATATATATATAGCTAACATCACCAACTTATTTGACAAGTTTCAAATTCGTTTGAATCCTTCACAACTTGCCTCCCTCTAAGCTGCTCCTCATTCAGCAGAGGAAGACAGAAGTGGGAAAGACCTTTGGGAATCCCCCTCATTCTGCATCACATGTGACGCAAGAGAGGTCCCCAACCAGACGACCAACCATTGAGTATAAGACTCTCAGGTCCCCCCCCCCCCCCCTCCCCCCCACCTGGGCACCTCATGTCCCACCTGGTCTTCTTACGTTACCTCTGGGGAACCCGCTTGTTTTGGCAGCAGCTCCTGCAGACATGGAGGGAAGGAGGAGGAGGAGGGAGGGGTATTCAAACACATGAATGAGAGGCTTGTTAAGAAAGCTGTTTGCAACAAAAATACTCTGTGAGTTAAACAAAGTCACTTATCTATTATTTTGTCCTCTTGCTGACTCCACTGAGGGGAGACAAGCTGCTAATCATAAAAACGATTTCCAAACTGCAGCCAGAGAGCTACAATATCGCTTTTTACCACTCTGTGGTAGCATGGAGCCATAAAACTAAGACAACGCATCCTGTCTTTCCTTGTTGAAGGATTTCACTGCACTGACAGGATATTGCTGCTATAAAAAAGGTTGAGATATTGACATACATGGGCTGTTTGAATTGTGAAGGCTTAAAGAAGGGCTGCTCTGTGGACTTAAACTTTATACGTCACAGACATGGTCATAGTGTATCTCACACAGGAAAGTGAATTAGATTTGTTTGAGTGCTTATCACTTGGAAAGAACAAGAGAGGAGCAGTGGAAGAACATAGTTTCAAGTTTTATCGTCATGTGGAAGTTAACCCAGGGTGAACAATACAATGGAAAGTGTTGGATGAGAATAAAGCTGCTGTAATATTAATTCAAATCATTTGTCAGAAACATCCATCCCCACACAGAAGGAACCTAAAAGAGGAAGCTCCGACAACAGCCCCACACATTAAGCTTGTTATGTCTTATTACATCTGTGTCATCAACATCGACACAAACAAGGGTGTTTGTGTCGATGTTGACTATTTCTCAACAACCTGAACTTTCGTCTTTAAACTTTAAGCCTCACGGGGATAATTATTTACTCAAATTCTCACTGAGCCACTGAACCCGCAGCAATAAAACCAGGTAATTTCACACTGAGCACAAAATTCTTCCACGCGTCAAGGGGAGAGATTTTGAGATTCACTTTTGCAAATGGTTTCATAAATGGTTCATGGTTTTAGTGTTATTGCCTGTGTTGGTTATGTTTATTGCCAGTGATTAATGAGTAACTCAAGTAAAAGGGCGTGGAGGTCTTCCTATAGAGAAATAAGGTGACACCGCTCAGCAGACTCATTGCTCGGCCAGCTTTGAACTGATATTGATCGATTGACTCATTTCTCACTGAATATCTCATATTTTGGATTTGACCAAAGCAGAGACAAATAATGGTAAGTCTCATTTATTTATTTAGCTGCACAGATGACTTCAATGTAGTGAATCATCATGAAAATATCTGTTTTGTCACATTTCAGCAGATGACCGCCTGACTGACACTGATAACCCTGAGCTTTTGAAATCTGTTGTCATGGACTCTCTGTCTCCTCTGACCGTCTGTCTGTACATACAGCTGTCAGTGAGTCTTCTGGGTTCAAGTAAGACTTCAGAACATTTCAATGATTGACTGTGATCTCATATTGTGTTCTTAAAAAGACAACAGTAGTTTAAGGCCTTCATCTGTCTGTGTCTTTTCTGCATAACAAGCTGCCTCCTCCACCACCAGCCTGTGGGGTAAGAAAGTACAATTGAACGGTCGTCCTTGCCCGTGGCAGCTACAGCCAGGTGTCACGGTGCCGGCCCTCAAGGAGCTGAGTGTGTGCCTGCTCTTATGCCGCAACATTGCAACCGAGTGGACAGGGTTTGTCTACAAAGCACCAGGAGGTAGAAGAATAGAGCTGGGACTTGGGGGCTCAGGTTCACACCTGACAGTGTGGCTGTTTGGAAAGAGAGAGCTTCTGCTCTGGGAACTGAAAGTCAAAGAATGGTCCTCTGTGTGTCTCACCTGGTCGGGCAGAGCTCGGAGGCTGAGGACCTATATTAACGGAACCCTCCTGCATGAGGCTGTGAATCTTGAACCACCCCAAATACTGGCCCCAAACGGCACACTCACTCTGGGGATTTCTCATAATGTGAATGCAAATGGGGAGGTGCAGCCAGAGAGCGGGAACAACCTGCTGGGTGAGATTGGTCGGTTCAGGGTATGGTCCAGAGAATGGAGTGCTGAGGAGCTGAGGAGGCAGAGCTGTGCAGATGGAGATGTGGTGAGATGGGACCAGCAGCAGTGGAAACACAGCTGCCCTCCTGTGCCTGACAACAGCCTACATTGTGGTAATTACAGTGTGAACTTTTTCTGTTGCATTGCATGGTTGTCCAGTTTGAGCTTCCCTGGATTTAAGAAATGCTTTGCCCCCATAATCTCTTAAAACTATTCACAAACTGAGGCATCGTGCAGTATAGGTTGAAGAAAAGCACATCCCAAAACCTGTTTTTTTTTGTTTAGCATGGTCACTATACAAAATCAAAATGTGGATATTCATCGTTCACGCCACAGAGCCGAGAAACTGTGTAGTCTCAGCGGAGGGAGTCACAAGAGGCTGGGTATGAAGAATTAGTTGAATATGACACTAAGATTTCAACAGTCAGATTTGCCTTTCAGAATAATTTACCTGTTGTCTCCTCTCATCAGCTGGAGAGCATTTTCCCTCACAACATTTCTGTCCACGACATCTCTGTGTCATCCCCAAGGTAACACCATTTTTTTAAAAGCAAAACCATGCCCTGCTATGAAAATGCAATGTGAAAAATATGCAGAGTCTTTTTGGCACAATGTACCTACTAAACAAGTACTCAGTATAGCGCAAATTACAAAGTACTCAAAGTAAATGTAAATATAAATGTACATACTTTTCCCCACTTTTAACAGAGGTGTGAGGTGCAAAGGTGATTGTTGCATTGTAATGTATATTCTGAACATGGATGCAATGTCTGTTATCTGTGCTCCCATACAGTCACAGCTGCCCTGTGGTTAATGATTCTGCAGCTCTGCATGTGCAAAAGCCTCAGGTACAGTCTTGTTAACAGTCCTCAGTTTGATTTTCCATGGAAGCAATATCCTCAAATACTAAGGCTGATTAGAGATTTTTTTTTTTTTTTAAGGAGAGATTGTTATTATCTTTATCAAGTGAAACGTCTTTCATTTTTAGTTGGCAGGATTATGCCGGATTACCATGAAACTTGGTGGACGTTTGGTGGGTCAGGGAAGAATCCATAAACTTTTGGTGTGGATCCAGGAATATTTTTTTAACTTTTTTATCATTGCGAGACATATGATTCTGATGCTATGATTACTCAGAGAATAATTTGGATCTTGATGAAAAATATCAGGCATGTTTAGCGTGATATATATTTGTATTTGTGCAATTTGTTGCAGATCCAAATATAAATCTAGTCAATTTAAATATGGTTTCATTAGGAGACTGTTAGACCTTGGCGGAGGTATGTGCTCTGCTGAGTGTTATTCTAGTTTTCTAAGGGAATGAATTGCGCATGAGAACATTGATGTGAGCTGAAAGGCAGGTGGTTGTGAATCATAATAAGAACAACCAGGTGTAATTGAATGAGTAACCTGTGTTTCCAGGGATCAACAGCGTCACCGGACTCCCCCTGTGACAAGTGGTGAGAAGAGATCGAGACCTACAAACACGAATTTCACTGTCATTGTATGATTAACATGCAGATTTAGTTTCAGTGCAGATTTTCATGTTCTTGTGTTCTACCCCCAGTTTCAGCTGTGAAGTCTATGTGAATGTGGATCCTGCTGCCAGCGTAGAAGCAGTTCAGGCAGAAATTACTGCACTGCTGAGTTTGACCTTCTCTAACAACTTCCTCAATCTGTCAGCTGACCCGAACAGCATCATGGTACTTCCTGTGGGTACGTCTGTGCAGCACATGTCAGTATCACATGCAAAATATACCCACTGTTGTGTTGAGTGGATTACTGGGTCTGGCAAATATAAACCGAACATGTATTTCTATGAATATTATTGTCAAAGTATGCCTGCTGATGTCACATGAAGTTGATCCTGTTGTGTATTACATCAGTGCTCATTTAATTTCACTGTGATTGTCAAGTGACTGAATTAAACATTGTGCAGCTCTAATGAAAACAAGGAGTGAGGTAAAGCCAGAGAGCACATTTCAAGTTAAGTGTCTAAAAGTATCTAATAGAAGACGAGAATTACGGAGTTTTCTTTATTACACAATTTAAATCACTTCAATTCCATAATTCACTGTGCTATTTTCAATTGAGATGTTTAGTGGAATATTTATCTTTAAGCTTTTTTCTTTAATGATTTCATTTGTTTCTTTCAGAGTCATTCCCTGTGGTAACAGAACCACCAACAGCTGTCAGTACTGCTGCAACTACATCAGGTGAGCAGGCCAGAAAGAATACGTTTATCTACGGTGACAGCAGTAACTTTCCTTTTTTTTAATTAGGTGCAGCCAAGTGTGCCAGACATTCTGTCCATGCTGTTCTTTTTCTGTAAATCATGTGATTTATTTCTCAGAAACAGGTCCAACTCAAAGTCGACCTGCTGAACCCGCTAATGTGTCGACAACAGGAGATCCTTCAGATCGCAATTTGACTGGCGGTCAGTTCATCCAGAAACTCACATGAAACATGACGGTTCATGAAGCTTCTTCTCTCCTGTTTCTGCTTCACTTCACATCTTTGTTGTCTCACAGTAGAGGACATTCTTCAAATCATTTTATCTGATGTTTGTATGTTTATTTCTAATGTAATGCTGTGAAAACAGGGTCAAACATGATTGACAGCTTAGAATGAATCACGATTGGTTGAGTTTCAGCGGAACCTCTATACCACGGCTCGAACGACCGATCGCTACTGGGATAGTGGGAGGAAGTGGAGAAGTGCCGTCCAGTTTTATATACGATCTATGTTCTAGATGCGTATTCAGAATCAAGAGCTTTTTATTTACATAACATAAATTTAAAAAGCTTCAGTCAATGCAACCATAACAACTATAACCTCATCTCTGGTTTTATAAATGGTCTCTCTCAGAAAGTGATTATCACACCATTATAAAATAACAACGACCACAGGGCCCGGGGTTGACTCATTTTCCAATTCTACTAATTTGAAGAATAAACAGTAACAGGAATCAGACACGACCCTGTGGGCAGTCTGCAGAGCACAAACAGATTTTTTGTTGTGTAAATGTCTTGAGTGTGATTCAGAGTTCTTTGAATTGTGTCATTATATGACAACATGGACTGTTTCATCCCTGCAGTTGGACCAGATACATTCTTCAGAGTAAATGTGACGGTAAAGATTGCTGGCCCCACGAATCCAAAGGATATCATTAAGAAATGGGTAAGAGACAGTGACTCACACTATTGGACTGGAAAACAGATATCACTAAAAAAATAGTGTTCACTGAATTGTTATCTTCTGGGATAAGGTGAAAGAATCACTGGAGGTGAATGGCACCATGATTGTACTAAATCTCATCATGAAGGAGAAAGTTGACTGGTGGGTTGATTCAATTTTTGTTGCATAACAAGCATCCTATTTTTTATATTTTTAATTTGAAAGCTCTGATTCGTTCATATTTCATCTGCATTATTTATAGGAACATGGCTCAAAACAATAAACTAAAGGTGAGTTGTGTAACATCAATATGTAAGAACAACATAAGTGCACATTAGTTTGGGGTAATCCTAAGAATAACATCTCACACTGCTCTAAATAATGATAATTACTATTCTTCATCTCTCTGGTTTCTATTTTTAGACTTCGTACCACCAACAAAAACAGTAGGTGACTGACAAAAGAAAATTATAATTCTAAAAGCTACCTGCACTGCCTGTTTTACATTACTGCATCGGTTTAATTCGTTTCCCATTCAGAATTGACTTAATTAAAGCACTGTGGCTGTCAGTAGCACTAATTGTGTGTTTCATCAACAGATATTACTGTGCCTTCCATGTTCGGGAATACAAAATCAACAGTGTTGCTGAAATCATAACTTTCATTCATTCTGCACTGACGTCAAAGCATGAAATAGACTCCGTTATTATTGAAGCAGTGGACGTGGCGATAAAGCAAATATGTAAGATTGATTTTTAACTCAAATGAAAAGAGAAAGTTGAAATTCGGCAACTGAAATCATATATTTTTATTTTTTTCAGTGCCAGAAAACTGTTTAGAAGAAACCACAGTGACGATCTATGGAGAATATATTTGGCCTGAATCATTTCCACAAGACAGCCAAGAGATGGGTTGCAGAAAACCTAAGTTTGAAAAAGCTTACAGGCTTTGGTAAGACTTCACCAATTTCCTTTTGCACAGCAAATTTGACCAGAGACAATGAAAACGTAATTGTCCAATTATAAAATTATGACCTAAAGACAACACTAAAATCTGTCCAAACACATCTTTATTAGCAAAGCTTATCACGGTGTACAAAATGATCTAATGTTTTATTGTTTGACATATTACGTTATTACATAATGTCTGCCAAATAACAATAAAGCATATCAAGGCTTTTAGTTGAGACAGTGAGGAATAATATCAACGGCTTTATTCTCACTATCGTGAGGCTGAATCGTGTGATTCAATCAAATTTGGGCGGAAAGTGTTTTTTTAAAACTCCTCGACAGTAATTACTCATTCAGATCCTTTGTTTGTCTTTGTCAAAACATTTTGTTTCCATGGAGACAGATCAGCCAGACAAGAACTTACCTCTAAATTACAACATCCTGTTCCACGCAGCCCTCCCACTCTGCACACAAGCTCTCATACCTCACACACACGACAATGATCAAGGATCCCTGCCAGCCGCTTGCTCAGGCTGAAATCAATTTCCTATAGGTGAATTATTAGAGTAATCAAAAGACTTCAGTCATCCTCACATCATCGCTGCACTATCCCCAGCACTCAAGAGGCAATGTCAGACAGGAAATCGGGTTTATGATTAGTAAGTGGAACACAGGGTTGATGCTCAATAAGACAATAATACACATTTGGCACCATTTGCTAGAAACTGTCACAAGCTGAGGAATCAAATTTAAGATTTCCTTTTTTCTTATTGAACTGTTAACAAGAATCGCTCTGATTCTCCTCTGTTTTCAGCAAGTTAGACATTGAAACTGACATGACCAGCTGGGCTGAGCCTGATATGAGAAACTGCAAACAACTTGTGTCCATCTCAGACCTCAGCAATATCACGGTCACCACTGGTAAGAGGAGCACCCACAGTCTGGTGAACTACCTTTGCTTGTATACGAAAATAATTGATTACAATTTTCAGGAAATGCGACATTTATTCCGAAATGAAACCATAATAACACACAACAAAAAGCAACACTGACATGATTGTTGTTTAGATAACGCTGCTGAGGTGGTGGGCATTGTTCGGGACCTGGTGGATGTCCAGTTAAGTAACAGTTCTGAGCTCTCATCTTTCGAGCTGGATTCAGTGGTGGAGAAGCTCAATAAAGTGGTTGATATCAGCTTCATCCAACCTGCTGTTGGTGCTGATATTGTCAACGTCATCGCTAATATCCTGCTCTCTGAAACCAACGTCACACCAGTGGCTACAGCGTAAGCTAAGAGGGAAGTGGGCGTCTGGTTAATCTCAATAAATATGAAGAAAACATGTTCAAGGTTGTTAATCTGTCTCTCTTTCATCAAAGAGTCCTCAAACTGACGGACAAAATGGGGGACAATATGTATTTCATTGATGAATCTGTGAGTGTAAACGCTCCCTCAATGGCACTTTCCATGATGAACGTAGATGGAGATGGATTCAAGGGCCTCACCTTTGGTGTGTCCTCAGTTTTATCTCTCCTGGATCTGAAGGTAAAAACCCAAATTCACAAATGAGCTGGTTTATGACATAATACAGTTTCTAACCAAAAATACGTTCAGCTTAATAAGTAAATGATATGTAACCTAGTTATTCACAAATACAATATTATTATATGTATCATTATTTTTGGTTTTTCAGACTTTTTTCATGTGGGATTTTGTGGGTGAACCACTTCCAGACACAGATGCAACCATCTCTCTGCCCTCTGAGCTCCAAAACTGTTTCACAAGAAACACAACTCGTGTTCAGTTTCAGTTCCATGGAACAAATGAGCTTTTTCAGGTACTCTCCTTTCACTGGTCTCTTTTTTTCCATTTTATTTATACTGCCGTTGTTTTTTCTTTTTCTTTTCTCATAAAGAAACTGAGGAAACTGCAGTAGCCTGTTGTACGCAGGCCACTTATTGCAAGAATGCAATTATGTTATTCTTGAGAGATAAATTATTTTGTTGAAGTTGAATGTTGATACCACCGTCATATCTGTAGGATGCAAATTAAGCTGTACACATTTTGTTTGATTTGATTCAATGCAGCAGATTCAGTTAGAATTTGTTTCCGGTCTTGATGCAGAGCTAAGCTAACCGGTTGCCATTGTATATTCATACTACATTTTATTGCAAATATAAAACAGGGGTATTGTTTCTTCCATCGGTCTTATCTCAGCAAGAAAGTCACTGAGCATATTTTCACTAATTCACATATTTGTGTATGAAACACAGGAAAACAAATGTTGGATCAAAATGATAATATTTAAAGTTAAACTTATAATTCAATCAATCGTTTGAATATAAGAAATCTGCTGTCTCTCTGCACCATATATCATTGATCAATGACCTCAGGGAAACATTACTCCCTCTACAGACTTGCTGTGATTTACAATCAGACAGCACAGTTAACAATACCACTACTTGATTCCTACCAGGACACCACCAGTGCAACTCAGAGCAGGTGGACGTTGAACTCTTATATAGTATCTGCCAGTATCAATGACACTGACGTCAGCAACCTGAGTGATCGAGTACTGGTGACACTCAGCCATCACAAACCCAAACAGGTGAGAAATGACTCGATTTTCAGTTCATTAGTGAAAAGAAAAGAAAAAGTTGTGTTTTTTACTCTAAAGTCATCATCACTTCCTGTTTCTCTTTTACAGCCAGACGACAGGGTGCAGTGTATGTTTTGGGATTTCGGGAAGAATGGTGAGTAATTGTACAGTATATATTTCATATGTTTCCAGTTGGATTTAGAGCCAACTTTCTAGGAACCAGTGATACCAAACAATGGAGGTAGTTGCCTGAGCCAATAAATGGAGTGTCTTTGTTGCTGTGTGTGTTTGTGTGTGTGTGTGTCAGGTGGACTGGGTGGTTGGAACAGCAGTGGTTGTGAAACCCGGAATATTTCTCCTCATCAGACCAGCTGTCTCTGCGATCACCTCACACACTTCGCTGTGCTCCTGGTGAGTCACTGGTTTGTTTTTTATTAACTGATCCAGGAAACAACGAGAGGTGTACAGTCCGGTCAGTGGCTCACTGCTTTCCTTTCCGCCAGTGATGCAAGATGCTGACGTCACAGCTACAATGTGTGCTTGTTTGAAAAACAATAATTTCATTATTATCTTTTGGATTTTACCACCAGGGTGCGCTCACATTTGGACAAATTTAAACGTATAACGTGTCATTTTCTGCCACTAGTGGTCTGTAAGGGGTCTGTGACATTGTGAAGTAACACAGGATCATGGGAATTGTTCTCTTTAACACCACGTCATTGTTTGACTAATTATTCGTAAAGGCCTCCTTCTCTCCAAAACATATGAACCAGATAATTAATCGAATAAAAGCAGTTTCATGTTAAATATTGTTCCAGGGAGCTGTTAGCCAAACTGCTGCCAGGGATTGACTCACTTTTGGAGCCGGCCTCAAGTGGCCATTCAATGAACTGAAGTGTTTTGGTGCTTGCTGTTGACATTGGCTCTCAGAGGTTTTTATAGGGAGATAAATTAGCTAGAGGTGTCCTCTTCAAAACAAACAGAACTCTGGATTAAATCCATTAAAAATACTGAAGAACGGAGCCATACTGCTGCTAACACTGGCTTAGATTGTTTCTCTGGTAATTTATGATCCAGGCATCCGATGACAAAAATCCTTCATCATGAAATAAATAGTTAAAAATGATTAAGATTTGAAAGGTGAGTTGTAAAAATGGGTTCATGTTGGAAGACGACCACAACACTGACACATGCTCAAAGGGGATATGACGCCATTACAGATTTCTCCATTGGTAATATTTTGATGCCGAGATGATACATATTTCGATTCTGGCTTTTAATATAAGTTTGGTACTGTTTGTATTTTGTGTTTCAGGATGTGTCCAGAACTCCCATCAGTGAGGCCGACAGTCACATTCTGACTATGATTTCATATCTTGGATGTGGGATATCCTCCATCTTTCTGGGTATCACTCTACTCACCTACCTGGCATTTGAGTAAGTCGCAGACACTGATTGTTAGTGACATCAAATATTTTTCTCTTTTTTAACTACCTGGTATTAAAAGTAAATATTTGAACAGCCACTACACATTTAATTTACAACATGAATATTTGACCATAAATCAATTTTCAATCTAAAGTTTTCTTGAGCTTGGATACAGCAAAGCAGTTCCAAATCAATGTCTCTTTAGCTACCTTCTTTGAATCGAGCTTTCAAACATATGTTTAAATCTGAAAATCATCATGACACTGATGAGCACTTTAAATAAGGCTAGTAAGCAACTTTGTCACCAAAGTGCTTTAAGTTTTAACTGCATTTTAGAATTTGTTAATTAGAACAACTACACTGAAATTAGTTGTGATTTTCGAGAACAAAATTCTTTATTACCTTTTTGCACCCACCTAAATTATTGAGGTCTCTAGGTCTCTTTTCCTTGATCAGTCTGTGTTTGTGTCCTCTCGCTCAATGTTTCTCACACACACACTCTAGGAAGCTGCGTCGGGACTACCCGTCTAAGATCCTCATCAATCTGTCAGCTGCTCTGCTGGGGCTGAGCATGCTCTTCCTCCTGGACTCCTGGTTCTCATCCTTCTCTAACTACGGTCTGTGCATCGCCACCGCTGCAACGCTGCACTACTTCCTGCTGGCCTCGTTCACCTGGATGGGCCTTGAGGCGGTAAACATGTACCTCGCCCTGGTCAAGGTCTTCAACATCTATGTTCCCTCATACATCCTGAAGTTCTGCGCTGTAGGATGGGGTAAGGCAGAGCACTGAGTACTCCTTACTGCAGAGAAGTCCAGGATCTGTTTGCTTTGTTTGGCTGTGTGGGTTCAGGACAGAATTTTGATTGGCTGGGGTCGATAAGACTTTGTTTATGAAACCTCAGATTAGAGATTAATTTGCCAATAA